AACCATACGGTCGGTCCTGTTAAAGTGTAGTGGAGATGCAGGATCACCAGTCAGATATCTTACAGGGCATCCAGCAGAGTCTGGCTGTGTTAGTCGGGCGGATGCAGGCGACACCATCACCGTCCGGGCCAGGTGCCTGGCCCGTTGCACATCCTCCTCCTTTTGTCCCACCGGTGACTGGGGTATCCCCATATATAGCCCCAGCATCGGTTCAGACCGTTTCCCTGGGCATGTCGTTATCAGGAGGGCTCTCAGCAGGTCCTAGTTTGCAGGTTCCTGTACAACCAGTGTATTCCCAACCTCCGTTGCAGATTGCGTTGATTGCAGTTACAACGCAATCTGCTGTCTCGCAGCCTGTACAGCCGCAGGGTACACAGCCCCTGCAGCCAGTGCAGCCGCCTGTATCACAGGGTCCACAACCCTGTGGGATGAAGGGACCGGGACAAACTCAGTGGGTACCAAAGACGGCCATCGCCGCTCCTAAACCCTTCACAGGGTATAAGAGGGGCGAAGACCTCGACACTTGGTTGAGGGCAGTGCCGGTCTATGTCAAGTGTAAACTCACCTTGCCGCACGAGGAAGTGCTTGTGGCTGCATCTTACCTAGAGGGTAGTGCAACAAGATGGTTGAGTGGTTTAGAACAGCTACAGGGATACGATCATGACTTTCACGCTTGGGTGGTCACCCAACAATTGGATGACTTCCTCAAGTTGGTGGAAGAAAGGTGGCATGATCCTCAGGAGGCCCAAAAGGCCACGGATGCGATCCTAACACTGCACACGAGGTAGTTCAAGTCAGTAAGGGAGGACACCAACGTTGTAGAGCGTCTGATCTGTGCCCATGGGGTGCGCTATGACCCCCAGGTTTTACTCACCTCCTACCTGAGATGCTTTCCTATGCCTGTCAGGAATCAGTGGGTAAGTGAGGCCAACATCAATGTTCACAACTTTTCCTCGTTTAGCAAGAAGGCCCTAGACCTTGAGGCGAAGATAGGGCATGACCAGGCACCCACTACGGATGGTAGGAAAAAGTCACTGCCTCCCAACTGGAAGGCGAAGGGTCGCGTAATGTTTGTCGATAACGATGGTTCCACCATCGAGTTAGACGACAACTTCCACGAGGGAGTAGGTTCAGAGATTGGCAGCGTTGAAGCTTCAGGGGGTGGAGTTGACGCTGCCGTAGCTCAAAAAGGTAAGGCGACCGGTAGACGCCGTGGAGGCTCCCGGTCAAGGAGTCAAGTTGACCCCAACCCTCCCCCATGGGAGAAGGCGGGTCTCACAGAGGACGTGTGGAGAGATCGGTACACACGGTAGGCTTGCATTCGTTGTGGTCAATACGGCCATAACCAATTCAAGTGTCATAATACGAAGGTGACCGAGAAGATCCCGCCTACGATGGGGCAAATGTTGGGATCCTCCCATCCCGTTGGTAGCAATGTTGCCAGCACTTCAGGCACTGCTCCGGGAAACACGTCGGGCCAATAGGAATAGTAGTTGTTCCTACTAGGGTCGAGGTGGTGGATACACCCCCACCATCTCGAGAGATGGCCCAAGCTATTGACTCCAGCGTCGTCCCGCAAACACGTTCAGACCCATTGAGCCTCTGTTCGATAAATGTGTTTGAGTCCTTAGAGGAGCTAGAGGAGGAGTGGTCCAGATCAGACCCCCTAGCTTCTTGGACGGCCCTAGTCAAAGCCCCGAAGGGTGCGAAGTTGGTTAAGTCCACCTATGAGAAGGAACTCTATGCGGTTTACAAGGCTCTGACCCATTGGAGGCACTATCTCCTTGTGAGGTTCTTCATCCTTAGGACTGATCATCAGACCCTGAGATGGATGAGAACTCAGCCGGTACTCTCTGGCGCTCTCAAGCGTTGGATCGAAGTCATTGAGCAGTATGACTTTGACCCGCAATATCTGAAAGGGGAGTACAACAAGGTTGTTGATGCCTTGTCGCGTAGACCTGATTTCTCAGGTGCGCTGATTATTGAGTTCGATCTTGCGGACAATGTTACTCAGTCCCTGGTGGAAGCCTATCGTGAGGATCCGTTCATGTCTGAGATCATCCGCAGACTCAGGAAGGACAAAGTGACTTCTGCCGAGTTTGCGTTGGTCAACGGCTTGCTGTTCCTTGAGAAGGCTGGGAATAAACGTTTGTGTTTTCCTAATAGGGAGTCTTTGCGTAGTTTATTTTTAGGCGAATGTCATGATGCACAGGACATTTTGGGTTCAAGAAGACTGCGGCTAATCTGCTGCAGCGGTTCTGGTGGCCCACATTGATGAGAGATGCTAAGTTGTACGTGGAGACTTGTCACGTCTGTCAGAGGGACAAGCCACGTACTCAGGCTCCTCTTGGGCTCCTGAAGCCCCTTCCGATTCCGGAAAGGCCTGGTGAGAGCCTGTCCATGGACTTCATGGATACGCTGGCCACCAGCAAGAGTGGAATGCGCTACATCTACGTCATTGTGGATAGGTTTAGTAAGTTTGCTAGATTAGTTGCAATGCCAGCAACAACTAAGACGGAGTATGTGATTAAAATGTTTAAAGAGATTTGGGTTAGAGATTTTGGATTGCCAAAGTCTACCGTTAGCGACCAGGACGTGCGATTTACCAGCGAATTGTGGAAAGCAGCAGCTGCAGAGCAAGGCACGCAACTGCAGATGACATCAGGCAATCATCCCGAGGCAAACGGGCAGGCTGAACAATTCAACCGCGCTGTACAAAACCTGCTAAGGCATTACATCAAGCCAAATCAGGTAGATTGGGATGAGGAACGTGCTCTCATCGCCAATTTGTACAATAACCTTGTGCACAGCGGAACCGGAGTCAGTCCTAACAGCTTGCTACTGACCTTCAGACCCCGACTGCTTTTAGACTTTCTACTACTTGACAATCAGCCGACTGCTGCACCAGGGACTCTAGAGTTTGCGTATGGATATGAGCACTTGATGCAGCAGGCTGTTGAGCAGATGCACAAAGCACAGGTGGCGATGATAGAGTCTGAGAACAAGCACCGCCGCCCATCTACATTCCAGGTACGGGAATGAGTCTGGGTGAAGTCCTCCGAACTGGGACAAGAGTACGGGATATCCCGTAAACTCATGCCACAGTACTTTGGACTGTGGAAGGTATTGGATGTCGTGGGGAATGAACCGGATGGCCCGTCTTATGTTATTCGCATCCCTGGTCACTTACGCACTTACCCTGTCTTTCACGCCTCCAAGCTTGCACCTTTCAAGGAAACAGATCAGTTTCCTTCTCCACGCTCAATGCTGCCCCCAACCATGGATGGAGAGATGGACACAGACGACACCGTGGATCACAGGGAGCTGCCCGTTCCAAGACTGACAGGCAGGGGACGTCCTCCGAAACCGAAGCTGCAGCACCGAGTTCGGTTCCGGCATCATCTGGATCCAAAGGAGGACCGCTGGTTCACTAGGGAGGAACTCATGCAGACCGCTCCTCAGATCGTAGCTCAATATGAGAAATCTCTGCAGAAGGGAAAGCACCAGATCATCGAAGACTGAACTTCTCAGAGGACTAGCGAAGTTATGGAGGAGTGAATGCGAGGCCTATGCCCCTATGAGCCCCTTTCAGACCCTGCCAAGTATCACGTCGGCCGCCCTAAGTGAAGGCAGGCACGACGAGGGCCTAAGGGCCCCTATTTGGGTCACCACGCAACTCAAGGAAATTCAGGCAGTTGCGCAGCGCCAGTTGGTTGGAAGAACCAAAGCCCTGGGCAGCCTGTTTGAATGTATCGAAGGCAGGCCCTGGGCTGGATACGGGATGTGGGCCTAACGCAGGCCTAGACAGTTGGGCGCGAGCAACCACTACAGGCCCAGGGCCTGAGTTGTGTGGACTGGGCCTCAGCCTACCGGGGCCTACCGGAAGCGTCTTGGGAAAGGCCCAGCGCAGCCTGGGACAGCAAGCAGGCAGGCCGCTGCCATATAGCAAAGGGCCTGCCTCCCCATTTGGGATTCGGGTGCTGGCTGCATGCTGTGTAAGCGCTGCTGCACTATTAGCTGGCCAGCGCTCACGCGCTCACGGGCGAGCAGGAAGGAGCAGGCAGCTATAGTCGAGCTGCGCTGCTATAAGCTGGGTGTGGCGCAGGGTGGTCCTTGGGTGCAAGTGGCATGTGTGTGTTGGGGAACGAGGTTGTGAGTGAGGCAAGAGACATACCTGGTGCTGGAAGCGTGCGACATTGGTCGCTGTATGCTCGTACTTTGGGAAAGCTGTTGACGTCATCTTCGGCATTGTAGTCTAGGCTAGATAGGATCTGCCATCTGTAGTCTGGGCGTCGAGCGCCAGATAGGATATCAACATTGGTTCTTCATTGATGATGATGATGAGACTTTACCAGCATTGTCAATTATGAGCTCTTGGTGTGTTCTTATTTGGTGAAACTCGTGATGCAATTCTGCTGTTGGTTCGAGGTCATGACTATCTGGTCTTGTGTATATGATGCTGTTTGATTGCTGAAATTCGCTATTGCTCATCTTCCTTGCACTTGGTACACGACTATCTGGTTTACAATGTGATGTTGCAATCTGATTTTCAATCTAATCCCTCTCGCTCATTTTCCTTGCACATTGCTGCTTAATTTCGTAAGAAGGTTGGCAAACATTCCTAAAACGAACACACAGAGGCTGAAGCATTCTGATTCCTTCGCTTGAGATGACAAAATCAAAATCTTGAGTCGAGAGACTCTTGAGACTTGGAAGTTGAGAGAATTGAATGGAAAAAAAAGGAATCTCTTCTAACATCACGTACCTTCTGCCTGGTCGGTGGCTGAATGGCACACAGAATGTCAAAGCATAACTGTTCAGAAACAGATGAAGAGTTCAACAGGTCAGACCCACTTGGACATGATAATGTCACAAGCAGCTGATCCTTTTCATATTAAAAAAAAAAACGCTTCTTTGATCGAATTGAACGAGGTGAGGCAAGCTTGGACTTCCCCCCCGCCCCCACCAAAAAAAGCAAGCAAGCATAAGGACTTTCTCACCTCCTCAGGTGTGAGCTCCTGATCTGGAATGTCAAGCAGGGGATAAGGGTTGGTGGTTGCCGGGTCTTCTGCGCCTTTGTCCTCCTCCTCCACAGGTTCGCCCTTTGTCTTCCGCAGCGTCGCGATACTTTTTGAAAGGCAGCTTTGGAGCTGTCATGTCACAATTAAAAAAGAGAAAAAACAGCAGTACACATGGCAAAAGGAAAACAAGAAACAAAAAAAAATCAAAGGAAACTTAGGAAAGAAAAAACTTCAAAAAGAGAAAAGAAAGAGATTGGCTACCGAGAAAAGAAAAACAGTTTCATCAGCTGCCATGTGGAGCTGGTACAAGGTTTGGGCTGTGCGCAGGTGCAGGGGGCTTTTCGGTGAGACCTGGGGCACAGTTCCACCAGCAAAGAGGGTTGGATTTCATGCCTGAATCTGGACGTGTTTGCGGAAAGGGGCAGAAGATCGCGATTGATCTTCTTTTCTGCATCTCCACATACAACAGATCCAGATCAGGTGCTTAATCCAGTCCTCTTTGTTAGACATTTTGCTTGCTCTTTCCTAGTGCAGGCTCCAGGCTCCAGGAACTGCGCCCCGGGGGTTCAAACCTCAAGGCTCAAACCACTTTTTTGGTTTATAGACGTTTTGCTTGCTCTTTCCCAGTGCAGGCTCCAGGGTCTTAAAAAGCAAATGGACTATCCTTTTTTTTTTTTTTTTTTTTTTTTTTTGTTTTTTA